CTTAACCAAAAAAAAAAAAAAAAAAAAACCAAAAAAAAACCCAAAAAAGAGTTGGGATAAGCAGAAAAAGCAATGCCAGCTCCTCCTGAGCGAAGCCACAAGCAGCGATTCCCGAATTCCTGAGAGCACAAAGCGCTGCCCGCAGGATGTGGAAGGGACTGAGGGTTTGTTGGGCAAGAACTGCGGAGCCGGCAGAAATGTGGCATTGCTCCTGGACGTGATTTCTGGGAAAATCGTCCCTTTTTTCATCCATTGTGTGCAGGATCCAGCCCTTGAGGCCACCCAGGGCTGGGGAGCTTTGTGAGGGAAGGTTTGGAACAGCTCAGGGATAAATAAATCCCTTTGCAACCCCAGCCCTGTGTCCTGGAAGGGCCAGACACTCCTCTGGCAGTCTTTTAAATGAAACTTCAATTTTTAACCATGAAAATGGTTAAAACCTTATTTATTTATTAAAAATCTCATTTATTTGGACTGTCCTTTTAAGGTCTCACCTACACAAATGCAGCTTCAGGGAGTGTTTATTCTTCTTTGGATAATAAAACATAGAAGGGACCTGCATCTGTTTTTAGCTCGTTTTTCTCTCCTGTGCCATAAATTCCTGCACATTTCTACACCTAAATCACCATTTCATCCCTGTTTGCTGCAGCAAGACCCTACAAGAAACTGTGAAAAATGTGAGATTTGCTCATGTCCAGGTCTTTTGGGAATTTTTGTGGGTAATTTCTCTACCTGGCTCTTCTGCTGGTTTATTGTAAGAGGCTGTTTTATTTTCCTTTCAACATCTGTGTGACTGGAGGGAAATAAAGTGAGACTCCTGTCTAGAGAACCTGCAAAATTTAAACTCCTGTGGGAGTTTTCAGGCATTGGTAAAGGATTAATAAGGATTAAAGAGACAAATTGGGGGGTTTAAAATAAGATTTTTTTTTCTAATATTATGGAAAAGTTTGCACGGTGTGTGTTTGGTTATTGGGTCAGTGATGAACCAGCTCCAAATTATTTCTGATTCTTTGAAAAAATAAAGGGTGCTGTAGGAATTTGTCACTATTGCACTGGATGTCTCCCTGGTTTTTCTCCCCATTTAGAAGATGAGTTTATAGGCACAGAGCTTTTCCTCAAACCCACAGATAATTCCCAGGAGCAGCAAGAATCCCTCTAAGGTGTGAGCTCTGCTACACCCAGCCTGTCTACACCAGAAAGGAACAAAAACTCTGCCATAACCACGCAGAAAAATAATAATTTCACATGAAAAACCTCAAGCAGGATGAAGTTTAAAAAGTCAAAACAGCTGCGAGGTTGTGCACGAACCCTGAGAGCTCCACAGGGCTTGGAAAAAGTTGCAAACGCCGCGCGAATGTCCCGGTTGCGGCGCCTAAATTAAGATTATTGATCAGTGATGTGGCAGTGGCGGCGCTAATGAGGGCAGCCCGCAGCAAGGCGAGCTCCAGGGAAAAGCTGGATCCGTCCTGGGCAGGAATTCTAATTGTATTCGGGAGCTGGAGCTTGGAGAGCAGCGAATCCAGTGATAAACTGGATTACTTTTGCCTTTAAAGCAAGAAACTGATGGGAAGGAACTTTCACTGGAGAGCTGAAGCCTTGGCAAGGCTCCACCTGTCCCAAAATTCTGGGTATTTAATGTAGTGGATGATAACTGCTGGTAAAGGTTCGGGAAGGAGAAATTAAATCTCCAAATCTCAGCAGCTGAGGGATGGTCATGGCAACTCAGGGCAGAGCTGGGAATGGGAGCAGGAATGGAAGGAATTTTCTAAAAGTTGGTCCTGAAAAAATGGAGAAAAATGAAGGAGAGTCACGTTGCATGTCAATTTTCTGTCTGTTTTTCACTTGAAAGTTCAGGATCCACTGTTTAAATAGCATAAAAGTACATTCTAGTATATAATAATATTAAAAATATAGGAATAAATCCAGCCTGTGTGATTGGAACCTCTTGTGCTCCTGCTCTGTCCTCCCAGGATTCTGTGCTCAGCCACACGTGGGACTTCCCAGCGCTCTGAACTTCCCCAATTTTCAGCACTTTCGCAATATTTGGCCCAGGAAGCAAAATATTTCCTCCCACTTCATTTCACAGGGAAAAAAGAAACAGCTTTAGGGTTTTGTTTTGAACAGCAAAACTGCAGCACAACTCAAGTGCCCCGAGAAGATTTACACCCCAAAGGCAAATGGCAGCCCCACGGAAATTCGGTTGGGGAATTTTTAATTTTGACCCGGGGGACCCCTGACCCCAATGCCTGTGACTTTCCCTCCTCTGATCTTGCGGGTCAGTTTTAACTGAGTTTGAACTCCCCACGTTTACAAGTTGGAGATGGGCAAAGCCAAGAGCTGGTGGTGGATTTTTGTCCAGTTTTCAGTGGATGCAGAAGAAAAGCCCGAGCAGACAGAGCCTAAGGCACAGCTGGCCCAACAGCCGATTTCCCTGCAGCATCTCCCGGCAGATCTCAGGGCGTTCCCGGCCGCTTTGGGGGATTTTGTCTCACATTCCAAGGGCTCTGCTTCCCTCTAGCGGGTTCGCTTGGCACTTCCCTTCTTATTTCTTTTTAAAATCCTGACAAACTATTTTTGACATTTCTTTTTCTTTTTCTTTTTTTTTTTTTTTTTTTTTTTTTCCGTTTTTTTTTAATGCAGCATCTCCCGGCAGATCTCAGGGCGTTCCCGGCCGCTTTGGGGGATTTTGTCTCACATTCCAAGGGCTCTGCTTCCCTCTAGCGGGTTCGCTTGGCACTTCCCTTCTTATTTCTTTTTAAAATCCTGACAAACTATTTTTGACATTTCTTTTTCTTTTTCTTTTTTTTTTTTTTTTTTTTTTTTTAAAAAAAAAAAAAAATTTTTTTTTTTTTTTTTTTTTTTTTTTTTTTTTTTTTTTTTTTTTTTTTTGTTGGCGTTGTTATTCAAAGTCACTTCCCAATCCCACTTATTCCACACTTTCCTTAAGTTTAATCCTCTTCTTCCCAGGCTGGTTTCTTATTTCTGAAATACATAATATTTCTGATATACATATTTCTGACATACATAATATTTCTGACATATGTAATATTTCTGATAGATATATATATTTCTGATATATATATATTCCTGATATACATTATATTTCTGATATATATGTCTGATAGATATAATATTTCTAATATGCATAATATTTCTGATATATATGTCTTTCTGATATACATAATATTCTGATATATTTCTGATATACATTATATTTCTGATATACATAGTTCTGATATACATAACATTTCTGATATACATAATATTTCTGATATACATAATACTTCTGATATATTTCTGATATATATATATATTTCTTATCTACACAATATTTCTGATATATATATATATATGTTTCTGATATATCTATATTTCTGATACATATATTTCTGATACACACAATATTTCTGAAATATCTTTCTAATCTAGATAATATTTCTGATATTCATCCTATTTCTGACACATATATCTTTCTGATATACATATTTCTTATTTCTGAAATACACAAACATCACCCCGTGTTAGGGAAGAGACTCCAAGCCTTCGCCAGCCTGATGAAGGGATAATCGAAGATTTTTGGGGTGGAAATAATGCTTTCAGAATCAGGTGATTTCAACACCGAGAGGTGAGGGCAGGGCTGGGGAGGTTATCTGCAGTTTGCAGAGGGTGTGGGAGCGTTGGCAGCTCCGGAGTGTGAAGCCATCTGCTGGGTGTGAAAACGCCCGGCTCTGCAGAGATGTCTCCTCAAATCAGCCGCACTCCGTGCACGGAGCTGAGCTGGGCACTTCGCTTGGACGCTGTGAAGAAAATGAGGAAAAATCCAGCAAAAAAACCCACCAGAGATGCACCCTGGTGTTGTAGTTGAGATGGAGACAACACAAAGCAACGCTCCATTTTCAGAAGGTTTCAAACCTGTTTTTATTACAGCATGGATGCTTTTTGTACATTCTTACAAAACTCTTCAGTTTACGCTTTACCCATTGGTCACGAAACACAAAGTGCTCATTGGAACAGGCAGCTGCAGGTTTCTCTTATTTATCCTTCTTTCTTTCTTGGTTTCTGTGTCAGTGACCTTGGTAGGAAATTCTTTCAGGGGTAAACGTGGATCCTCTTATCAAACTCCTCTCTGGCTCGCAGAAGTCGCTGTAAAACTCTTCCACACCACGGAAGTACACTTGTACCAGTGCCCAGTACAAACCTCCAGCAGAAATAAATGCACTTTTTGTATCATTGCACCACCACTGGGGGTGGTTTCCTTTCTTTCTTTATTTTCTATTTCCTTTTTACTTTCTTTTCTTTTTCTTTCCTTTCTTTCCCACTCTTCTTCCCTCACTTCTTCTCCTCTTCTTTCTCACTCTTCCACCTTCCTTCTGCCTTTTCCCTCTTCTTTCTTCCTTCTTTCATCCTTCCTTCTCCCCTTCTTTCCCCCTCTTTCCACCTTCTTTTCCCCTTCTTTTCTCCCTTATTTCCCCTTATTTCCACCTTCTTTTCCTCTTCTTTCCATCTCTTTCCCTCTTCTTCTCCCCCTTCCCCCTTCTTTCTTCCTTCTTTCACCCTTTCTTCTCCCTTCTTTCCCCCTCTTCCCACCTTCTTTTCCCTTTCTTTTCTCCCTTATTTTCCCCTTATTTCCACCTTCTTTTCCTCTTCTTTCCATCTCTTTCCCTCTTCTTCTCCCCCTTCTTTCTTCCTTCCTTTCCCCTCTTCCCACCCTCTTTCCCCCATTTCCCTCTTCTTTTCCCCCTTCCCACCTTCTTTTCTCCTCTTTCCACCTTCTTTCCTCATTTTTTCCCCTTCTTTCCGCCTCTTCTTCCCTTCTTTCTCAGGGCAGAAACCCAGGTTTGCTTCCCCACCCTGCCCCAGGCTTCCTGCGTGACCCCTGACAAGTCACTTCCCTGGGATGTGCAGCTCCTGGAAGTGCTCAGCTTCTCTCTGGCTCACAGAAGCCGCCGTAAAACCCCTCCCACACCACTTTGAGGTGTGAAAATTTGAAATTTGCCTTCCAGCTTCCTGCTCCGTTTGGCTCTGCGAGGCTCAGACCGAGTTCAAGAGGGTGGCAGAAGAAAACGTGACCCTGCCCTGCCACCACCGCCTGGGGCTGCTGGAGCAGGGCAGCCTGGACATCGAGTGGCTGCTGCACATCTCCGAGACCGTGCAGAAAGCGGTGGGTTTGCTGAGAAAATCGCTTTATTTCTGCCCTCATGCCACCAGCCCTCCATTCACCAGCACTGCTGGCATGATTTTGCAGCTTGTTCTGATGATGAGAGCAGGGTTTGGAAAACAGAGCTGGTTTAGAGAGATTTAGAATGTGGAAAAGTTGTTTGATATCCAACACGGAGCAGGTTGGGTTAAAAAGGATTTTATTTTTTTTTTGTTTTTAAATGTAGTCAGTCTTCATTAGATCAAGGTCAGAAGTGCCCTTCAGGCTTTCAAAATAACCTTGGGGTTTGCAGGCCAAATTTTCGAATCCTTGGTTTCAGTACAACACACAGTAGTTTAGTCTTTATGAAAACGAGGTCTGCAGGGACTTAAATTAGCACAGCCAAGCCTCCAGACTGCTTTGATGTGCTGTGGCACCAACCAATGCCTGTTTTTACACTTGTACAAGTGCCCAATATAAACCTCCAGCAGAAATAAATACACCTTTTGCATCATTCTCGGGGCAGAAACCCAGGTTTGCTTCCCCACCCTGCCCCAGGCTTCCTGTGTGACCCTTGACAAGTCACTTCACTGGGACGTGCAGCTCCTGGAAATGCTCAGTTTGTTGTTCCATGTGAAAATAAAACAATTCAGTGTCTGCTCTGCTCCCAGGTGATCACCTACTCTGGGGGCCGTGTTTATGATGACCTGAACGAGGAGCAGAAGGGCCGTGTCTCCTTCACCTCCAACTTCCTTGCTGGAGATGCATCCCTGCAAATCATCTCCCTGCAGTCCAGCGATGCAGGGAAATACATCTGCAAGGTCAAGAACGCTGGCCAGTACGAGTGGGCTCGCATCACCCTCAAGGTTGTGGGTAAGGACAGTTCCTTGTTCTCCCAAAGGGGAAAAAAGAAATCCAGGCTCACTTCCTGGGGAGAGATTGGTTTCAGCAGGGTATAAATACACAAAGACATCTCAAGATCGGGTTTCAGTGCTCAACTTTGTATCTGCCGATGCGTTTTTTGGGCACAGGAAGAGCCTTGAGAACTGGTGTGATAGAACTGAACTAAATACTGAGCCCTAAAATTCATAAGGATCTCATGCACAATGGCTCCAGCAGGAAAATATCAAGGTTTCCATCTGATTATCTCTAGTAGGTTTCTGCCTAGCACAAAGACACCTCAAGATCAGGTTTCAGTGCCCAACTTTATATCTGCCTTTGCATTTTTTGGCCACAGGAAGAGTCTAAAGAACTCATTTGAGGCTGGTGTGATAGTAGTGAACTAACCTAAAACAAATTCATCAGGATCATCTCATGCACAATGGCTCCATCAGGAAAATATCAAGGTTCCCATCTGATTATGTCTCTAGTAGGTTTCTGCCTAGCACAAAGACACCTCAAGATCAGGTTTCAGTGCCCAACTTTATATCTGCCTTTGCATTTTTTGGCCACAGGAAGAGGCTAAATAACTGGTCTGAGGTTGGTGTACTGAACTAAGTACTGAACCCTAAAACAAATTCGTAAGGATCATCTCAGGCACAATGGCTCCAGCAGGAAAATATCAAGGTTCCCATCTGATTATGTCCCTAGTAGGTTTCTGCTTAGTGATTCCAGACTTGTCACTTGCCAGAGTGGTTCCTCTGTTCAGCTCTCGACTTCCTGGCAGCAAATTAGTCCACAAATAGGCACAAACATGCAAAGCCATTCTTTCCAGAGGACGGCTGTGATCTCAGCACCCAAAGCAGCCTGATATCCTATCTCAGCTGGCCACCACCCTGCCACCCTCCTGCTGGGCACTGGCACTGCATGTCCCAGCAGCAGAGCTGACCCCAGCCCGTGGAGTGACACATGAGCAGCTGGGGGTGGCAGTTCCCTCCCCTCATTTCAGTTTATTGCTTTTCACACTCTCTGTGGTCCTCTGGAAGGATCCTGAAGCCTGTCAGGGTAGAAGGAAGAACTGGAGAAGGGAAGGGAAGGGAGGGAAAGATGTTCTGGAAATTGTGCCTGGAAGAGGAATGTGGTGATAGAGCTCCAAGGGACCACGAGGCAAAGAGTGTGAGAATGCCACTGCTGTGGCTGAGCCAGCCAGCTCCTCCAAAAAAAAGCTAAACCCCTAAAAACCTTCTGTTGTGTGTCCTATAGGGGAAGGGAAGGGAAGGGAAGGGAAGGGAAAGGAGAGAAAGGAAGGGGTTTTAGTCCCCTAAAAACCATCACTGGTGTGATTCCTTAACGCCTTCCAGGGAAGGCAGCTCCTGGAAGCTGTTTAAATGCCAAAGGAAGGGTTTCCAGTGAGCAAACTCTGCTGTGACGCCATGACCTGCCTTCTCCTTCTAGAGAGACCCTCCAAGCCCAAGTGCTGGCTGGAGGGGGAGCTGCTGGAAGGGAAGGAGCTGTCCCTGCAGTGCCGCTCCGCCTCGGGCACTGCCCCCATCTCGTACCGCTGGCAGCGCCTCAGCGAGGAGGACGAGAGAGCCGAGCAGCTCCCGCCCAACTCCAGAGTCAGTGAGTCGGGGCTTTGCCTCTCCCGGGCTCTGGGATCACCGCTCCAACACTGCTCCCACCGCTGCGGCTGCGCCTGGGGGGTGATCCTCCTTTCCCCTTCTTTCGCCCTTCTTTCTTCCCTTCTTTCCCACTCCTTTTCACCTTCTTTCGCCCTTCTTTCCCCCTCCATTCTCCTTTCTTTCTCCTTTCTTTCCCTGGTTTTTCCCCCTTCTTTCCAATTTCTTTCCTCCATCTTTCCCCCTTCTTTCTTCCCGTTTTCCCCATTTTTTCTTCCTTCTATCTTCCTTCTTTCTCCCTTCTTTCCCCTTTCTTTCTCCCTTCTTTCTTCCTTCTATCCCCCTTTTTTCTTCCTTCTATCTTCCTTTTTCTCCCTGCTTTCACCCTTCTTTCTCCTTTCTTTCCCCCTTCTTTCCTCCTTCTTTCCCCCTTTTTCTTCCTTCTATCTTCCTTTTTCTCCCTGCTTTCACCCTTCTTTCTCCTTTCTTTCCCCCTTCTTTCTTCCTTTTTTTCCCCATTTTTTCTTCCTTCTATCTTCCTTCTATCTTCCTTCTTTCCCCCTTCTTTCCTCCTTCTTTCTCCTTTCTTTCCCCCTTTTTTCTTCCTTCTATCTTCCTTTTTCTCCCTGCTTTCACCCTTCTTTCTCCTCCTTTCCCCCTTTTTCCTCCCTTCTTCCCCCCTTCTTTCTTCTTTCCTCCCCCCTTGCCATTGCTCTGGAGCTGGTTTCACCCCACAGACCAATTTGCTCCTCTGTGCACCTCCCACAGCCGAAGTTTCTCTCTCCATTTGACTAACCCCGGCGGTGTTTTCCCCCCTCGCAGACATCTCGAACCCGGGGCAGGTGCTGCTGAAGAACCTGACCCAGATGAGCACGGGGCTGTACCAGTGCGTGGCCACCAACGAGGCGGGGCAGGAGAGCTGCGCGCTGCAGGTGACAGTGCAGCGTAAGTACCGCCCCGGGCAGGGACCCCGCCGAAAACACCCGGCCTCGCTGGCCACGAAGGACGCAGAGGAGTCCTGCAACTTCATTCCAATCAAGGGAGAGGCCGTGGGGCATTCCCCTGGGGTCTCGCCAATTTTTGGAGGACTCAGCCTCCTTTTTATCCCGATTTCCCAGCCGCATTTCCCTCTCGCTTTCCCCATTGGCTGAGGGACTTGAGAGGTTCAGACTTCCCAAATCTCCTAATACAAACCCCCCTCTAATGTGTGCCCTCCTTTTTCTTTTCCTTGTGTCAATCAGTGCTTGTAACAGACCCAGACATCTAAAGTGATAAAACCATCATCTGGGCTGCCATTCCAATTTGGAATTCCTATGGAATTTCATGGTTTTCCCATTGTTTCTTCCATCTCTCAGTATCTAGCTTTTTCTACCAGCAGACCCACAGTTTGTTTGGGAAGACAAATCTCTCTTATCCTTTCCATCCATTCATCAATGGGATCCTTCCCTTTGTTTCTTTTATCTCTCAGTGCTGGGTTTATCTCCAGGCAGACCCACAGCTTGTTTGTAAAGACAAGTCAAAGAATTCACAGAATTCACAGAATCACCAGGTTGGAAGAGACCTCCAAGATCATGGAGTCCAGCCCAGCCCCAACAGCTCAACTCAAGACTGGCACCCAGTGCCACATCCAGGCTTTGTTAAACACACCCAGGGATGGTGACTGCACCACCTCCCCGGGCAGCCATTCCAGAACTTTATCACCTTTCTGGGAAAAACTTTTTCCTGCTATCCAACCTGTATTTCCCTTGGTGCAGCTTGGGGCTGTGTGCTCTGGCTCTGTCAGTGCCTGGAGACAGAGCCCAGCCCCAGCTGAGCACAGGCACCTTTCAGGAGCTGTGCAGAGTGATAAGTCCCTCATTCCTCTCACCCAGAACCCTGTCCCTGCTCCACGGGGGACCTGCTGCCCCCCAGCTCTCCCACGTGGAAAATCCCGTGCTGCTCCTTTGCCCTTTCATACTTTAATCCCACAAAACAGCTCTTATTTATTGCACTTTTGATTCACACAGCAGCCTTCACCTAAAATGACATCACAACCTGAGCCCAGATGATGGTTTTATCACTTAGGTGTCTGGGTCCGTTAGAAAAGTTGATTTTCAGAACGATTTATGAAACATAAGCAGGGAAAATGGTAAGTTAGGGGTTGCTCTGGCTGGAGTGATTGCATGAGGTGAGTCTCAGGTATGAATTCTCTCTGTGGGTATTCCACCACCCCAAATTATGCATTTGCTGCAATTGGGACAGCAAAATATCTAAAGGCAGTTAGAAAGACATGGACTAATTTGCAAGATAAAAAGTAACTTTTGATACAATTTAATCAGGTTTAGCCATTTGTGTCCTGAACAGCAGAGGTCAAAATCGCCTGAGGAAGCCCACAGGGGTGTGTGCACTCAGGCTGGGTGTCCTTTACATCTGCATGCCAGGAAAAGGGTGGAGTTTATCACCCAAAGCCAAACAATGGAGTTCAGCAGCTCTCCAAGACCTGCTGTGATAAGGCTCCTAACAAAGAAGTCTCCTCCTGGAGATTCCACAGCTTTGGAATTTTTCTGCCCAGCCAAGCCTGAAATGACTGGAATATGGAATAAGGAAAACCGGTTTGCCTCAGGCATGTGAAGTAAAAGCGTCCAGGCAGCTTTTATGGCAATTGAACTGAACTGGTTTAAATCCTCACTTGGCTTTGCTAAACCCTCCTGAGGGACTGAGCTTAAGGAAACACCTTTCAGCCAAGCCCAGCCTCACCACTTTTATCCAAAAAGGCTGTCATAAACTATCAGCGAAGGGCCCACAACCCATGGGAAACGTTCTCTCATTACTTGGCTGATTTGGATGAAAAATACCCTGCCCGGGATGGTTTCCTCTCCTGCTTTGTCTGCCTCAGTCAGGTCACTATTTCTCCACATTTGAATAATGAATTTCAGAATAAGGCTGTAATCACTCAAGGCGAGCTGAAGGGGGGTAAAAATCCTCATGGGGAAACATTAAAAGATTAAACATTCCTCTGCCACCACCTCTGCCTTGGGGTGCTGCCTGGTGCCGTGTTCCACAGGGGCTGCCCTGTCTTTGTATTTTCTGCATTTTTACACCCTCAGAAGGGGATTTTTCCTCCTTATTTCAACTCTGCCCCACAGCTGAAGGCACAGCACTCGTGGTTTCACCCTTGCAGAGGTGACAGCTTTGCTCCCTGCCAGCTCAGCCTAGCTGCAGATAAACTGGTTCAACTTCTGTGTGGAGACACACCTAAAAAAATAAAACTGCAGCGTGCTGCCCTGAGCTCTACCCAGTGCTGGGACTTGTAGCGTGGACCAGAACCTCACCACAGCAAGGGCTCACCAATAAATTTGGTTTTTGGACAACAGATGCACAAAACATCAGCATGATCGCCGGGGCAGTGTGTGGAGTGGTGCTGGGGCTCTCCCTCCTCTTCCTGGTGGTGAGGCTGACCATAAGGAGGAAAGAAAAGAAGAGATACGAGGAAGAGGAGGCACCCAATGAAATCAGGTAACGCCTGTTGTTTAATCCCACCTCCCACGCTCCCTCCCCTCTTTGCACCGCGGTTTGAACTGACTGCGAGCAGCTTTAAGTGTCTGCAGAGCTTGCTCGGAAAAGTTTTGCTCTAAAAACTTTTAAAGTCTCTGTGAAATGCCACTGACAAATTTCTTGACTGTGAGAATCTTTGTGAAAACTTCCCAGAAAATCAGATTAAAATCACTCCTCCTCTCCCCTGGGCAAATTAGCACAGACCTCAACCAACTGTTTTCTCTCACATGTGTAATTTCGGTATTTTGAAGCATTTGCATATTCTTTTATGGTGTTAAATTGAAGCCACTTGTCCGTTGTGGTTCTGAGAGGGTTTGGGGGTGGTTTCCTTTCCCTCTTTCTTTTCCATTCATTTTTTTTCTTTTCTTTTTCTTTCATTTCTTCGCCCCCCCCCCCTTCTTCCCTTCTTCTTCCCCTCCTCCTTGCCCCTCTTTTCCCCTTTTTTCTTCCTTTTTTCCCCCTTCCTTCTCCCTTCTTTCCCCCTTTCCACCTTTTTTCCCCTTCTTTGCCCCTTCTTTTCCTCTTCTTTCTCCCTCCTTTTCTCCCTTCTTTCCCCCTTTCCCTCTTCTTTTCCCCTATTTCTACCATCTTTTCAGCTTCTTTCTTCCCTCTTTCCCCTTCTTTATTCCTTCTTTTCCCTCTTCCCACCCTCTTTCCCCCATTTCCCTCTTCTTTTCCCCCCTCTTTCCACCTTCTTTCCCCTTTTCTCCTCTTTCCCCCCTTCTTTCCCCCAGTTTCCCCTTCTTTAACCCTTCTTCCTTCCTCCTTTTCCCCTTTTTTCCTTTCAGCTGCAGCTCCTATTTGGCACACACAGCAGACACTTTCCCTGAGCCTTCTGAACAACTGTTCCCCCGGATTTAGCTCGGGGTGAGCAATTCCCCGGGCACGGAGGGGAGCAGGAGCACGGGGAACGCCGACTCCTGTTCCTGGAGCTCATCTGTTCCCTGCCCTGAACTCCCCTAAGCTGAGCTTGGCCTCCAGCCAAGCCGGCCTAAACTCCTCAGGAAGGAAAGTGCTGGAAAGATCTATTTCCAGGAGTGAGTTTGAGCTGCTGCTGCCCTCCAAGAAACAAAGCCTTGATCCATCTTTATGTTTATCTGTGCGGCCTCGGGTGACATCTGTGCACCACCAGGCACCTCTGTAATCCCCTCAGCTGCTGAGCACTCGCAGCTTTTTCATCTTCTTCTCCCTTCTTTCTCCTTTCTTACCCTCCCCTTCTTTTTCTTCTTCTGGCCTCTTCGTTTTCCTCTTCTTTCTCCTTACTTTCCCCCACTTTTCTCCCTTCTTTTTCATCTTCTTCCCTCTTTTTTCTCTTTCCTTTCCCCTGCTTTTCTCCCGTCTTTTCCCTTCTTACCCTCCCCTTCTTTTTTATCATCTCCCCTCTTCTTTTCCCTCCTCCTTCTCCCTTCTTTCTTCCTTCTTACCCTCCCCTCTTTTTCGTCTTTTTCCCCTTCTTTTTCCTCTTCTTTCTCCTTTTTTTCTTCCTTCTTTTTCATCTTTTCCCCGCTTCTTTTTCCTCTTCTTTCTCCTTTCTTTCCCCCACTTTTCTTTCTTTTTCATCTTCTTCCCCCTTCTTTTTCCTCTTCTTTCTCCCTTCTTTCTCCCTTCTTACCCTCCCCTCTTTTTTGTCCTTTTCCCCTTCTTTTACCTCTTCTTTCTCTTTTCTTTCCCCCACTTTTCTCCCTTCTTTTTCATCTTCTTCCCCCTTCTTTTTCCTCTTCTTTCTCCTGCTTTTCCCCTTTCTTTCCCCCACTTTTCTCCCTTCTTTTTCATCTTCTTCCCCCTTCTTTCTCCTTTCTTTCCCCTGCTTTTCTCCCTTCTTTCCCCCTTCTTACCCTCCCCTTCTTTTTCCTCTTCTTCCCCCCTTCTTCACAAAGGCAGCCTCTGCTGCTTTCTTCCCCTTTTCCTGTTTCCTTTCCTGGCCCTTTCAGCTGGAGCCTCTCCTGTATCACCTTTCACGCCTGCCTGTTACATCCTCCCCCTCCCTCTCTGTCTCCGTCTGTCAGGACCCGGTCGTGGCGCTTCTCTCCTCACCCACAGGGTGGTTGGAAGCGGCAGAACCGGTTTCAGGCAGCCCTGCCCAGGCCATTTGTCGTTCTCGGGACTGCGGAGCAGACAGCTCAGCCTGCTGCTCGCTCTGACACTAGCTGCTCACTGCAAACGCACAGAGCCGGCTGTGAGCAGCGCGACTTTATTCCAAATTCATTCACCGACGCTCCGCGGGGCAAGGGGGAGTTTAATCCATCCAGTTACACAGCAGAGAGTTTGGACAATTTGCAGGACATTAAATTAAATTCCCCCCTTTTTTCCCTGGGCAACTTAGCACCGACCTCAACCAACTGCTTTCTCTCACATTTGTGATGTCAGTAGTTTGAAGAATTTGCATATTTTTTCATGGTGTTAAATTAAAACTGCTTGTCCGTTGTGGTTCTGAGACGGACTGGGGGTGGTTTTCTTTCCCCCTCTTCTTCCCTTCTTTCTCCCATCTTTTTCCTCTTCTTTCCCCCTTCTTTTTCCTTTTCTTTCCTCCTTCTTTCTCCTTTTATTTCTCCCTTTTTCTCTTTTTTCTCCTTTCTTCTTCCTCTTTTCTCTTTCTTTTTTCCCCTTCTTTCCCCCACTTTTCTCCCTTCTTTACCTTCTTACCCTTCCCTTCTTTTTCCTCTTCTTTCTCCCTTATTTTTCTTCTGCTTTCCCCCTTCTTTTTCCTTTTCTTTCTTCCTTATTTTCCTTTTTATTTATCCCTTTTCCCCCTTTCTTTTTCCTCTTCTTTCTCCATTCTTTTTCCTCTGCCTACCCCTTCTTTTTCCTCTTATTTCTCCCATTTTTCCTCATTCTTACCCTCCCCTTCTTTTTCCCCCTTCTTTTTCCTGTTCTTTCCTCCTTCTTTTTCCTTTCATTTCTCCCTTTTTTTCCTCTTCTTTCCCCCATCTTTCTCCTCTGCTTTCCCCCTTCTTTCTCCCCCTTTTCTTCCTTCTTTCTCCCTTCTTTCCCTCCCCTTCTTTTTCCCCCTTCTTTTTCCTGTTCTTTCCTCCTTCTTTTTCCTTTCATTTCTCCCTTTTTTCCTCTTCTTTCCCCCTTCTTTCTCCTCTGCTTTCCCCCTTCTTTCTCCCACTTTTCTTCCTTCTTTCTCCCACTTTTCTCTCCCCTTCTTTTTCCTCTTATTTCCCTTTCCTCTTCTTTCCCCCTTTTCCCCCCCTCTTTTCATCTCCTTCCACCCCTCCTCTTCTCCTCTTCCTCCCCCCATTCTTCCCCCCTTTTTTCCCCCGTTCCCAGCCATTGCCAGCAGCAATCCCCAGGCTTTCCCCGAGCGTTCCCCGCGGTGTTTGACCCCCCCTGTGCGTGTTCCCTCGCAGGGAAGATGCCGAGGCACCCAAGGCGCACCTCGTCAAACCCGGCTCGTCCTCCTCGGGCTCCCGGAGCTCCCGCTCGGGTTCCTCCTCCACCAGGTCCACAGCCAACAGTGCCTCCCGCAGCCAGCGGACTTTGTCCACCGAAGCCACCCCGCACCTGACCCCTCCCCAGTACGGCCAGCGCCAGCTGGACAGGAAAGAAGAGCCCAAAAAAGTCGATTACAACCACCTGGTGAAGGTGGCGGTGCCCGCGGTGATGGTGCCCGCGCAGAGCCGCGCCTTCCAGACCGTGTGACATCCCCGGAGCCTGTGTGACATCCCCTGTCCCCAGCGCCACTTGTCACAGCACCGGCCACTTCGCAGCGCTAGGGCAGCCTCATCTTCATCACTCGGGATCGTTCACGCCGCCAGAAGCCCTCCCGCTCGCTTCTTTCTGAGCCTCACTAAGGTTCTGATGCAGATTTAAGAAAGATTTGTTGGAGCTTCTTTTTAAATTATCTTTTTTTTTTCTTTGAAAATGGAACACTGAGCATTAAAAACCTACGACAGCAAAGCTGTGCTGTCGAGTGAAACTGTATGAGTGAAAAGAAGCTGAACCTCAGGATTTTTTAAAAGGGATCGACAAAGACTTAAAGATGCATGATATTCCAGAGAGGTTTTGTGGGGAGGGAGAAGTCTCTCGGACTGGTTTTGGAGAAGGTTCTCGAAGATGTGTTGTCTTAAGTGAAGAATTTTGAGGCTGAGGGTGTCCAGCCCCAAAGGGAACTGACAGGTGCTTCACATTTTCTGCATTCAGTGAAATTCTGGAGGCTGCAACTAAAGTGGAAATTAAAGGATCACTCCCAAAGGACAAGAGATGCAGTATTAAGGCGTCTGAACGAAACTCTGCTAAAGAGAAAGGACCTTTTCTCAAGAAAACAGAGGTGCTTTAATTGCCAGAATAAACTTAGGGCCAGGAGCCTGACTCTGCTTCCACGGGCAGCACTGCAGAGCCACGGGAGCCCCACTGGAGGGGAGCCCCTGGCTGCTGAGCCTTAGAGAGGAGAACTGGGCACTGAAGCCAGCAGGGAGGCAGTGAAATGGGCACTGAAGCCAGCAGGGAGGCAGTGAAATGGGCACTGAAGCCAGCAGGGAGGGCCACCAATGCACCAAAAAGCCAGGATGGAGCGTTGGAAGAGCTCTCGGTCACTGCCAGCTGGAGAATTGGCCAGGTTTGGGGGGAGCTGTGCTGGAGAAGCCTTATGGAAAGTTCTCCCCGGGACTGAGTGAGCAGCATTCCCCAGGGAAGGCCTGAAGGGTTCCCTGGCAGAGGAAAACACACCTGGGACAGGTGAACAAGCACAAAACGCTGCTCCCACCAGGACATTTGGTGTGTGCTGTCCCACTCCTACACCAAATGCTGGGCCATGTGCCAGGGCTGACGCTTAAACCTTTAGCAGGACCCTTAAAAAATGGCAAGAATTGTAAAAATTTTTTTTTGTGAGCAACCAGGTTAAGTGTTTCCACGGAATATGAAGTTAGGAAAGGATGGGAGGTAGGGACAGAAGCAGAATTCTGTCGCTGATGTTTTCCTCTGAAGGACTTGGCTCTGACCACTGCTACACACAAGACACTGAGCTTGTAGGTTCTAGATTCCTGTATTCCTAGACTGGTGATTTTCTGTTTCAAAAATGAGGGTGTTTGGGGTTTTTTTCCCCACTGGAGGGAGGGAAAGGGTTTCTCCAATTTGTGGAAAGAGCCTACAGAAGATGGATGAGCACAGAAGAACCACAGATCTATAATTCTTTCACTCCAGGATTGTTATTAATCTCCTTTTCTGATTGAGACCCAGAATTTTAATTCCTTTACTTGAGATCTTCGATGACCTGATCAAAGCCAAGCCCTGCTCAGGCTACTTCCATATGGGAAAGAGTTTCCAAACTTGCCCTACACTGTGTGAGAACTTCTCTTCCTAGGAACAGTCACTCAAAATTCCATTTCTCTACCCCAGATTTAACCCTTGCAGGACAAATTCCTGATGCTGTGCAGGGAAAACAATCCCAGTTTTAATAAGGGAGGCCTGGCATGAGGTGTTTGATAAGCTGCTCCTGCCACCCCTGCTGGGGGTGGATACTCTGCCATTCCACCCTGGATGCTCCGGGATCCATCCTGGATCAGCTGGGTGGGAAACAGCAGCTCTGTGTGCCTGGGATTCCTCTGCAGTTGGTTTTATCCTGAGCTCTGAAGGTTCAGATGCTCCAAAGCACTCCTGAGCCACTCCAGAGCTGGGAAAATTCCAAAAGCAGGCACAGGATGGTGAAAGCAGCTGGTGGGTTCTTCTGTGGGTGCTCACTGTGCTGAACATTCCCTGAGCTGCCCCCGAGTGATGGGCTTCTGCTCCAGCCAGGTTTCATGAGCTCTCAGAGAGCTTAGCACACCCGAGATAGCCCAGCTACCCCAAATGGCATAAAACCAGCAGGATGGCTTCTGAGGTGGTGTTGGAAACAGAAAAAAGGTTCAATAAAAGACAAAATAACAAAGCTCTTACAGAGAAAAACCAAACCAGGGGCAAGAGGTTCTTGCTGCTGCTAAAACACCCCACAAAAGCGATTATTTCTTTGTTCTCTTCTTAGTGAATTACCCAGGCCAGACCTCTTGGCCTCTGTCCACTCAGCCCCAGTTCTAAGGTGAAGTCCAAAAGGTCCTATGAGGTGTCTTTGTACCAAATTGAGAGAGAAACTACTAGGCTTTTTGCCTTTTTAAGCAGGCAAAGAATAATTTAATCACTCTGTCAGCAGAGGGAACATTCCAACATTCCCACACCTGAGCATCCTCACCCCCAGGAGTGCTTTCCCTGAGCCTCCAGGAGCTCTCACCACAAAGCCAGCGTGACAGTCCCAGCAGCTGAGCTGGCCAAAGGCTCTGGGGCACCTTTGGTCCCAGCCCAGGCTGGTAATTAGCAGAGAGGATCCTCTGCAGCCTGGAGGGAGGAGAATTTGCCCTGGCAGGATTTCCTGGAGCCGCTGGGCAGCCCTGGCAGCCTCTGCTGCTGCGGAACCCCGTGCTGGGAGCTCTGCTGGCAGGGCTGAGAGCTCTGGGGGCTTGGGGAGGGTCAGGCAGAGGGGCAGAGGCTGGGGCATCCTCTGGGGGATCCATCCTGGCTGCCCCAAGCCCTGCTGGCTCGGAATTCCCAACCTGCCCAGGTATCTGCTCCAGCCCACACATCCACTCACAGGGAAGGGTAAAGTTCATCACCAAAGGGAGCAGGAGAAAGGGATCATTCCAAAGGTACTCTATTTTCCAAGCTCCAGCCCATCAGGAGTTGCACAAGGGAAGCAAATAAGCCAAACCCTGTTTTGTAAAATAGTGTATTAAAGCATTTACTGTCATATACCAGCTATTAATTGTGTGATTAAATGCCTACCATGTTATGTAGCTTTTTGTTTCTCAGCAGCTAAACTAAGCTTCCATCTCTGCTACCTGCTATGATTGGTGTACTTGTACTGTGTCTGAACAACTCAGAGGAAAGCAAATATTTATTATTGATTCCTTTGAATCAATGATTTAATAATTTTTTTTTGGTTGGTTGTTTTATAAATAAAGGTGCTGCAGCTGAAGTGCTGCAGCTCAACTCAACTCGTGCCATTTTCTGTGGTGTGATGGCTTTCAGGCTGTCAATCTGAATCCAAGGGGGGGAAAAAAAAAAAAGGATGGAGTTAAAAATACCATTTTTAAGCTAAGCAGGCCTATGTGCATATTTGCATGGGAAGCGTGGGGAAGCTGGGCTTTTTTTCCTGGGTATTTTTCAGTCTAAATCAGGTGACAAAAGATGTGAAACCCTGGGTGATGCATGGAAGCAAAAGTGGTTTTCTCTGGGGATAAACCCCAGATATTTGGGTAATCTGGGATATTTGGGTACCTGGGATATTTTGGCTGAGGATGCAGGTGCTGGAAGCCAAGCTGGTAAACAAATAATGCCAGCACAACAACTCCTGGTGGCTTCATCCTCGCCCTGCCGCGACCTTCCTGCTGAACCAGCCCACGTGCCTGGCTTTCCTCATGAGCTCCGAGGTGAGGAGGAAACCTTGAGCTGTGCTCAGCCACTTCAGATCTCTGCAGATAAAGCTTGGGAGGCAGCTGGGCGTGGGATTTAGGGGAGCTAAAGGTGCTGTGCTTGGTTTCTCTCAGCCTTCTCTCCCCCCAGGGTGTTTTGCAGGGGTGCTCAGACATCAACAATCCTCCTTGGTGAAATGCGGGAGCAAAAATTGCAACATAATCAGTATTTAAAACAAAACAGGGTGACAACACGGTGGTCTCACAGGTGTGGCCGGTCTGTCCCTAACTCAGGAGCAAACGCTGCTCCTGCTCCCACTGGAGTTGATGACATTAAAAACCCTGGCTGGGTTCAGAGAGGAGTTGTGCAGTCGCAGACTTTTGTACAGGATCTGGGATTTGGGGTTATTTTTAACCCGGAGCAGTTTGTCCTGACACGCTGAGAGGGGGGAACCCCGTGGGAAAGGGAAGGGAGGGCCTTGGAAATGGGTGATTTTCAAACTTCAGCAAATCTAGTGTTATATAAATAAGTGCTGCTGTGGTGAGCAGCAGGAATGCCTTTGATAATCTCCCTTCTCCTCCCAAGTCTGTTTGAAACGCTGAAAGGAGAAGCAGTGCTAGATCCTTCATACACTAAATTCACTCCCAAAAATAACGTTTCAATCCATAACTTAAAAAACCCCCTCCACGCTAAATACTTAAACTAAATACTTAAGCCTGCCAAGTTTTAATTGATGTGATATCAAGCAAACGAGCTCCTTTTGTCCAGTCGAACAGCCTCTAATTTCTGATGGGATGAGTCATTTGCAAACTGCCCTCCTCCCTGCACTGACTCACTGCAGTTCCACTGCCTCCCCTTGCTCTCAGCCCGCTCTCATCTAAATGTCACTGTGGCATCCCGAGCTGCTATTCTTAGGTCCTGCCCAAATTCTGCCCATGCTCTTTTAAAAAAAAGCCCAAACAACCACCCCAAAGGCGAACAGCAAGGGTGCCATTCTTAGGTCCTGCCCAAATTCTGCCCATGCTTTAAAAAAAAAAAAAAGCAACCCCAAAGGCGAACAGCAAGGGTGCCGTGGTGGGCTCAGGGGGGATTACTCTGAGGAGCATCTCTGGAGGAACCTTGGAGCAGAACAGCACAGCAGCTGGACTCTGGACAGGGTGGAGTGTGCCCGGCACGCCTCACCTGGCCAGGTGTGCCAGCTTTGGACAGAGCTGGTGCTCCGTGGCACAGAGCCCCTTCTGCACCAAATTCCAGCTCCAAAGCCTGCCCGCCCTGGGATGCCACCCCAAAATCCCAGCTCAGATTTCGGCCCTGAGCAAACCGGCAGGACACCAGCGACTCCCCGCTGCTGTGGCACTGGCTCTGTGGGCTGCCACTGGCTCGCCAGCCAGGTCACATCTCCCTGTTGTCACCCCAAATGGCCAGGAAAAGGGATGTTGCCACCCTGGCTCAGGATGTGGCTTGCACAGAGGAATTATCCCAGGCAGACACGAGGAACAGGCCGAGCGATCTGCTCCTGTGCTGGATTTCAAGTGTTACCAAGAGCATTTTTGTCTAAAGGTAACCTGGGAGAACCTGAAATGCTTTTTTTGTGCTGTTTTCACCCCTTTAAAGGGAAGCTGCCTTGCCTGCTGTCCCCGTGTGCCGTGTCCCAGAGCCTGGCCAGGGCTCGTGTTTGTGTTCCCTGCTCCCAGTGCCCCCCTGGCCTTTATTCCCTGTAAATATTGGATGCAGCCCTGAGCGTGACCTCGGGCGATTCCCAACCTCTGCCCCGCTCCCCTCATCCCTAGGGACACCAAAAACCCCTCTCTTTTTCACCATTTCCCTTCCCAAATAAATCAATCCATGCCGGGAGCTGGATTACCCCCACACCAACGGGTGACACCCTGTCCTTGGCCTGGATGATTGATGGGAACATTTAGGGTGGATTATAAAGCGTGGAGATGCCAAAATGCCTTTTTCTCTGCGGAACAAGAAGCTCCAGTGCCTAAACCACCACAAACACGGCTTCCTGCGGGAGAAACAGGCCGCGGGGTGAAGCGGGGAACGCTCCCTTGCCTTGCAGGAGGGAACATGGAGGATGCTGATTGTACTGAGGGGATTTGCTGAGCAGACGCTGCGGGAAGCACTGGGGAAACGCCAGGCGATGGCTGCGGGGATGAGGCCGGGGAATGGCGCCGCTCCTGAGGGGAAGGAGGGATCTCGGCGGGCACAGGGGGATCGCCGGGGCTGCGCCCTGGCTCGCCCCTCATGGCGCCGCCATCTTGAGCTTCCCCTTCCCCGCCGCTCTCCTTCCCCGCCGCCCTCTATGCAAATCACCCGCCATTCCCGCGCGCCGATTGGCCCCTCCCGCCCCATTGCGAAATATGCAAATAAAGACGTGGCGCGCCGCGCGGCGATTGGCTGAAATGCCCGCCGTCTCCCCGCGCCACGCCCTCCATCCGTGTCGTCACCCGCGGCGCGGGCTCTGATTGGCCAAAGCGCGAGGAAAGGCGCGCCCACCGCGGGGTTTGGGGGGGCGCGGGGAAAGCGCATGAAGGTTCGAGAACGCGGGGCCGGCCGGCGCGCAACGCCCCCTTCCGGCGTGCGTCACGCACGGCAGGGACCAATCACTTGTGACCGGGGGGGCGGGATCTACGCGGTGATTGGTCAGGACTGTGCGAGGGAGGCGTGGCCTTCTGGAAGGTTCTGGGCGGGTATAAAAGGGCGGCGCGGCGGTCGCGGGGCATTGAGCGAGCCGGAGCTGAGCTGAGAGCCTGCCCAGTGTGTGAACGAGAGACCGGGCCGGACTGCGGGTAACGGGGCTGGGGGGGGCAGCAGGCGGCACGGGGAGGGCGGGTTGGGACGGGGCTGCCTTGGAATGGCGTAGGGCGGGTGTTGGAGGCAGCTTGGAGGTGACCTGGAAAGGGCGGAGGGCCCCCGGAGTGATTTTGTGTCCTCAGGAACCGTTGTGCTGCGGGGATGGCGAGGGAACGGCGGGTACTGACCCATTTTGGGCTGGAGGGGTGGTGTTTTTTATCCCGGTATTTCCACATTTATCTCTTCAATGTGGTCTGCCGCGGGAGGGGGAGGAGCGGGAGCTCCGCTTCCCTCCCCCACTCCCCCCCCCCCCCCCCCCCCCCCGATTCCATTACTTTTGAGACGGCGGAGGGCTCGAGGAGGCGCAGCGCCCATCTTACCTCGCTGGGGGGCGGCCTGGGGCGGTGCCGGGGCATAGCGGGTGCTGCAGTGACCGGGGGTGGAGAACGGCCACGTGTGGGATGCGGAGGGGATGGCTCCGGGTTGGGGGGGGGATCGGTGTCGCAAGGGGCTGGGGCTGCGCTGGCACACGCGGCCCGCCCGCCGGGGACTCCATTTCCCGGCAGCCCCCGGACGCGCCCCTCCCCCGCGCTCACGTTGCGCGGGCGGCGCGGGGCACGCTGGGACTTGGAGTCCCTGGCCACGTGGTGCGGGGGACACCAAGCGGCGGAGGCGGGGAGTGCAGCCGGGGGGCGCTGCGGGGCCACGTGGGAGAACGGGGCTGGGATTGCGGTGGGATTCCAGGCTCATCCGGGGCTGGGATTGCGGTGGGATTCCAGGCTCATCCTGGGCTGGGATTGCGGTGGGATTCCAGGCTCATCCGGGGCTGGGATTGCGGTGGGATTCCAGGCTCATCCTGGGCTGGGATTGCAGTGGGATTCCAGGCTCATCCGGGGCTGGGATTGCGGTGGGATTCCAGGCTCATCCGGGGCTGGGATTGCAGTGGGATTCCAGGCTCATCCTGGGCTGGGATTGCAGTGGGATTCCAGGCTCATCCGGGGCTGGGATTGCAGTGGGATTCCAGGCCATCCGGGGCTGGGATTGCGGTGGGATTCCAGGCTCATCCTGGGCTGGGATTGCGGTGGGATTCCAGGCTCATCCGGGGCTGGGATTGCGGTGGGATTCCAGGCTCATCCGGGGCTGGGATTCCAGGTTCATCCTGGGATTCATCCACAGCGGTTTGGGCGGGAAGGGATCCAGTTGCAACCCTTTACAGCGGGACACATTTCACTAGAGCAGGCTGATCCCAGCCCCACCAGCCTGCCCGTGAACATTTAAATAAAGAAATTACCACAATTTTTCCGGTCAAGCTGTATCTTCTTCACTTTTAACTAAATTATTCGTGTTTTTCTTTTTTTTTTTTTTTCAGACAAGATGTCGAAGGGACCAGCTGTCGGGATTGATCTTGGCACCACCTATTCCTGTGTTGGCGTGTTCCAGCACGGGAAGGTGGAGATCATTGCCAATGACCAGGGCAACCGCACCACGCCGAGCTACGTGGCCTTCACAGACACAGAGAGGCTCATCGGTGATGCTGCCAAGAACCAGGTGGCCATGAACCCAACCAACACAGTCTTTGGTAAGGCTGCAGGATTGGCACGCTGTTCAGTGGTTAAAGGGATGTTTCCTGGCTTTTAGTGTGAATCACTAAAAGGTTTTCTCATAGCAGTTTTATACTTAAATTATTTCTAACCAGAATAAAGTTGTGATAACAAAAGCTAAAATTTATTAAAGGCAGGGAAAATATTTGCCCTGCAGTAGGTTTTTCAGGGTAGTCAGTCTTGAATAAGCTTCATCAGTTGTCTTAACATAGTTTGTGGTTCAGTATTTTGGTGGTAATAGCACTGAATTTATGCACGTTAAAGAGATGAAATTTAGTGAATGCACCTGAGCCTTAACAAAGCACTAATAATGTTAAGGATGCTAATCTAGAATTTTCTCTATTTTTAGTGAGAATTTTAGGTGTTTAGTTAAAAGTGACCATTATTAAATATTCAAATTATCTCTTCCAGATGCAAAACGGTTGATTGGGCGCAGATTCGATGACTCTGTGGTGCAGTCTGACATGAAGCACTGGCCCTTCACTGTGGTCAACGATGCTGGCAGACCCAAGGTGCAGGTCGAGTACAAAGGCGAGACAAAGAGTTTCTACCCAGAGGAAATCTCTTCCATGGTTTTAACCAAAATGAAGGAAATCGCGGAGGCTTATCTTGGCAAGGTGAGTCTGGGGCTGAAGTGGAACGCCGTGTGAGCGGTTGTGTGTGAGGATTGCCATCCCTGACCGGGCTCTTGCTGTGTTTGCAGACTGTTACCAATGCAGTAGTGACTGTCCCAGCCTATTTCAACGACTCCCAGCGCCAGGCCACGAAAGATGCCGGAACCATCGCAGGGCTCAACGTCCTGCGGATCATCAACGAGCCCACGGCAGCTGCCATTGCCTATGGGCTGGACAAGAAGGTATGGAGGGCTCTCTGTGCCCGGCCAGGGAGGGAGCTGTTTCAGTAGAAGTAGGAATTAATTAATGAAAGAGGCTGTTCCCTGCAGGTTGGTGCCGAAAGGAACGTGCTCATCTTCGACCTGGGCGGCGGCACCTTCGACGTGTCCATCCTGACCATCGAAGATGGCATCTTTGAGGTGAAATCCACAGCGGGGGACACCCACCTGGGCGGGGAGGACTTCGACAACCGCATGGTGAACCACTTCATCGCCGAGTTCAAGCGCAAGCACAAGAAGGACATCAGCGAGAACAAGCGCGCCGTGCGCCGCCTGCGCACCGCCTGCGAGCGCGCCAAGCGCACCCTGTCCTCCTCCACCCAGGCCAGCATCGAGATCGACTCCCTCTACGAGGGCATCGACTTCTACACCTCCATCACCAGGGCTCGCTTCGAGGAGCTCAACGCCGACCTGTTCCGCGGCACGCTGGACCCCGTGGAGAAGGCGCTGAGGGACGCCAAGCTGGACAAGTCTCAGATCCACGACATCGTGCTGGTGGGAGGCTCCACGCGCATCCCCAAGATCCAGAAACTGCTGCAGGACTTCTTCAACGGCAAAGAGCTCAACAAGAGCATCAACCCTGACGAGGCTGTGGCGTACGGGGCAGGTAATTGATCGTTCTGCAGCTCTCGGGGGGTTTCCACCTCGATCCTAAAGCTTGCCAAAGCTGTAGGAGCTCCCCTTGGACTTGCAATGATGAAGCAGATTCCAAAGCCATTCGTAGTTTCCACCAGAGGTCGAAAGGCTTGTGATGGTGCAAGTACCTTCCTTGGATGTCTGAGCGAGCCCTGTGCACCAGCACGGTTGGCAGGGGATGGCTTGCAGGGGTTTTAATGCTGTGTCTCTCTCCCCAGCTGTGCAGGCCGCCATCCTGTCTGGAGACAAGTCTGAGAACGTGCAGGACCTGCTGCTGCTGGATGTGACTCCCCTGTCCCTGGGTATTGAGACAGCTGGAGGGGTCATGACAGTCCTGATCAAGCGCAACACCACCATCCCCACCAAGCAGACCCAGACCTTCACAACTTACTCTGACAACCAGCCCGGGGTGCTGATCCAGGTGAGCACTGAGCTCTGGGGTAGTAACAGCACACTGACAGTGCTTCCACTGATTAACACCTTTTTTGATGAACTTAATTTTTAGGCCAGAGGTGTTAAATTCCTGTAATTTGTCAATTCCTGGTTGCTGTGATGAAAGTGACTCCAAAGCCATTCGTAGTTTCCACCAGAAGTCGAAAGACTGGTGTTGGTCCAAGTACCTTCCTTGGATGTCTGAGCGACCACATCCCTTCAGGGTAATAATTAATTAACCCATTATGACTTTAATGACATAATGTGATGCTTCTCCTCCTTAGGTGTATGAAGGAGAACGTGCTATGACTAAGGACAACAACTTGCTGGGCAAGTTTGAGCTGACTGGCATTCCCCCTGCTCCCAGAGGGGTCCCTCAGATCGAGGTCACCTTCGACATCGATGCCAATGGCATCCTGAACGTGTCTGCTGTGGATAAGAGCACTGGCAAGGAGAACAAGATCACCATCACAATTGACAAGGGTAAGGATGTGCTGTCCTCCTGGGCTTGTCAAGCTGTGCATGTTTTAGTCAGAACTTGGCTGTAGTCATCCATTTCATACAGATTTATACCTATGTGAGCCTCTAAGCTGCAGTAATTAATAAATTAAGAAGGCATGTTCAGGGCCTCTTCTGCCCCCCCAGGTTTAAAGTGTGTGATGTTTGGGAGTCAGGGATCATTCCCTGAGGACAGTCCATGCTCATGGTTTGTGTTCTCTGCAGGCCGACTGAGCAAGGAGGACATCGAGAGGATGGTGCAGGAGGCAGAGAAGTACAAGGCAGAGGATGAGAAGCAGAGGGATAAGGTGTCCTCCAAGAATTCCCTGGAGTCCTACGCCTTCAACATGAAAGCCACCGTGGAGGATGAGAAGCTCCAGGGCAAGATCTCTGACGATGACAAGCAGAAAATCCTGGACAAATGCAATGAGATCATCAACTGGCTGGACAAGAACCAGGTATGTCAGAGTCCCTGTTCAGCTGCCAGGGGCTGCCTGAGCCACAGGGACAGTTCAGGCTGGAGGGGGAGCGCTGGTTGCTGTGATGAAAGAGATTCCAAAGCCATTCGTAGTTTCCACCAGAAGTCTTTGGAAAGACTTGTGTTGGTCCAAGTACCTTCCTTGGATGTCTGAGCGACCACAGCTGGAGAGCACAGCTGGTTCCCAATCCCTCCTGTTCCCTGGCTGCCTTCCCAGGGGCGTGTTACTGCTCAGGAACAATGTGAGATGCCAAACCAAGCAGGAATAATTGTGCCTCTGATGCAAGTCTGGCTTGGTGCTGGGGCTAAACCAGCCAAGATTGTTAAAATGTGTGAGCCAGGCAGTGCTGCTGTGCCCACCAGTGCAGATAGTTAAAATGCATCCCCCAGGCAGTGCTGCTGTGCCCACCAGTGCAGATTGTTGAAATGCATCCCCCAGGCAGTGCTGCTCTGCCCACCAGTGCAGATTGTTGAAATGCATCCCCCAGGCAGTGCTGTTTCCCTCCTGGGCTGTGCCCAGAGTCCCAGATTGTTGAAATGCATCCCCCAGGCAGTGCTGCTGTGCCCACCAGTGCAGGTTGTTGAAATGCATCCCCCAGGCAGTGCTGTTTCCCTCCTGGGCTGTGCCTGAGCTCTCGTTTCTCTTGCAGACGGCCGAGAAGGAGGAGTTTGAGCACCAGCAGAAGGAGCTGGAGAAGGTTTGCAACCCCATCATCACCAAGCTGTACCAGAGTGCAGGAGGGATGCCCGGTGGGATGCCTGGAGGATTCCCTGGGGGTGGAGCTCCTCCCTCCGGGGGAGCCTCCTCTGGCCCAACCATCGAGGAGGTGGACTAAGGACCCTGGGAAATGCATTCCACTAGCAGTTAGTGTTGGAGGAGACCCCCAGCTGGGGGTTGGAGTGAAGGACCCAATCCTGTAGGCACATCTGGGTTTATTTTGCCAGATTAATAACTCCATAACTGAGCTGCTGTAAAAAAAAAAAAAAAAAAAAAAAGAAAAAAAATAAAAAAAGAAAAAAAAGCTTTTTTTTTTCTGGGCATTTTAAATACTTGAAAGTGTGCGCAGGTGGGAGATGAATACCATTGCACTTTACAGTACTGTAAATGAGTGGGAATGCAATTCATGTCCTAAAGAATAAAAACTATTTAATGGGCATCACACTGTCTCTGCCTTCACTTGATTCTACCAGCTGACCAGTGCAAATAAAGGGAAAAAAACCTAAATTCAGGGAATTGGTGCTGAACTGAGCGTGACCCAGGGGGTGTTGCAGTGGGAAAAGAGGTTTGGAGCAGGGGCTGCTTGAGCAGTTAGAGCCTGGGCGGATTTTTGAGAGGAGAACTTGAAATGGATTATTTCTGAGCTGTGGCAGACAATTTCAGCATTAACTAGTTTGGAAAAGACCTTTTCAAACCCATAAGTTTTATCCTGCAAGTACAAGAATACTGGATAATTAGTTTTTCTTGAAGGGATTACTGGCTGAAGTATCTCAGTTTGTGGGATGATTCAGAGGTGACTGGAGGTGGAGAATTTGCTGGCCAGGCCTGGGGTGATGTTTTCAGCAATACTTGGCTGAAATAATAATGAATATAAAAACTAATAATATTTTGTAACTATAGTAATGTATGCAAATGTTTTTCAAGAATATTTGAATACTGTTTTATGAAAAAAAACCCACTGCTGTATGTGTAAATAGTATCAGTGAAGGAACAATTTAATTGCAATTAAGATGAGAAAATTCCTAGAGCAGTGCCAGGTGGAAGGAACTTGGGATGATCCAGTCTGGGACTCAAAAATATTTTGTGTTAGGGACCCTGCCAAGGGCAG